AAAAAAAAAAAAAAAAAAAAAAAGGGCCTGGGGATTTAGCTCAGTGGCTCCACACCTGCCTCATGAGTTTGATCTCATTACCAAACAAAACAAAACAAAAATGAGAAGGGTTGGGGATGTAACTCAGGGTGAAGGCCCTGGACTCAATCACTAGCACTACCAAAAGAAACACACGAAAACAAATTTAAAAACCCCACCTTTATCCTAGGTAGCTATGTATAAGAAAAGCATAGTGTATGTGTACGGGATTCAGTACTACCCACAGACTGGGACTTCACCGGGGTCTTGGACAGCACCCCTAGGGGAGGGGCACTACAGTGGCCCCAGCATTCTGTTTCAGCATTCCGGTGATTCTCCATTCTCTAGGCTGTTGAGGTTTTACCACAGTGCTCGACACAAATGGAGTCCCAAATAAACATTAGTTATTGTGGCTATGGAATAGCAATACTTTTAAAAACACACTTTTGCAGATGTATTGGGTTAAGAAACCTAGCTATGTTTTTATCTCAGGTAGAGGAAGAGGCTGGGTCTGTCCCTTCTTTGTGTCTAAGAGTACTTAGAACACAGTGCCTGGCACAGAAGGAGAGCTCAAATCTTACTGGAGTAGGTTGAGTGTTCAAATGATGCGTTTATTCCTAGACAGCATGGTGGACTTCCGAGGAAGACTGGCTTAGCTGCACTGGCCTGCACCACATCTGAGAACCTTTGTCCAAATCTTTGTCCCCCAGCTCACTGCAAGGCCATGATTCCCATAAACATTTGAATTGGTCCATTTGTTGCTGTGCAATCTCCATCCGCTGACTTCACCTCTCTCATTACCCCTTCCAGATGCCACACCCAGACCTGGTTCTCTCTCCCCACATGCACGCCAGGACCATTGCACAATCAATGTTTCCACACACTGAAAGTTTCCCTCTTTATTTTGCTCAGATCTACTCTCTGCCCATCAGTCTTACAGCTGCGAGACCTCCCCACTACCCGAGCTTCCCTGACTTCTACTCTCAAAGCTACTGAGCTGCTAACCAGCAATGCACCCAGCTCAGCACCAGGATCTGCAGCTGTAGAGGATGTGAGAACTAGGATTTCACCACTCCGGATTTCAGCTCACTCTGAAGTCACTCTCTGTTGGTGTGGTCAGAGCCCCTTCAGGTCCTTGGACAGAGGCTGGTGCTATTATCTGCTCATCAGCCTGGGGCTCCCTGGTATTCCTCTGGGGCTATCACATTCTTCCAAGAGCCCAGAGACAGACCCAGCACATAGGTGCACACCCATCGCGCCAAGCCTGTCATGTAGGGACTTTCTACATAGAAGGCCTGAGCCCTCCATAAACACCAGGTGTGGCCAGATCTGCCTGGCCTCCCTGGATCCCACTACAGTCTGTGTGCAAAGCCTTCATTGGCCTCTTTCTCCACCTGGCATGAGCAATAGCTCACTGACTGTGACTAACTCAGGAACCCAGACGTGTGTGCTGAGAGGCTCAGCACTGACCTAGTGTGGGGCAGGTAGAGGGTGAGGTTCGCGAACCACAGCATGGCTTGCGTGAGGCCCAGGGCCTCCTCCTGTCCTCCCCAGGGTGTGACTCACACTTCCAGTACTTACTTCCCTCAAGGTTTCCTCCCTAACTTCCTTCTGCTTGCTCTGTACAATTTGCTTTCTTTACTCTATATGGACATTTTTAGCGTTTCTCTATCTCTTTTTTAAATTTTGTTTTCTTGTTTGTTTGTTTTTTGAGACAGGATCTCACTATATAGTTCAGGCTGGATTTGAACTCATGAGGAGCCCAACCTGCAGCAATCCTCCTGCCTCAGCCTCCTGAGTGCTGGGATTACAGGCGTGCATCCCCACATGGCATTAGCTTCTCTCTTACTAATGTAGCTACACGCTTTCTGTCAGAAAAGCTAGCATCCATTTTGCCTCCTTCCCCTAACTCCCTGGCCTGAATCTGATCTCTATTCCTCCCTGACCTTGTGAGAACCCTAAGTTCAAGGTCCTTTTACTTAGGCTGCATTCTTGCTCTAACCTCATGGTCTCCAACTGCTGCTCAGATGGAACTTTCCCTTCCGCAGACATATTTTCACCGAGCCCTTCTCTGTGCTCCAGTGGAGTGCAGTTTGGTTTGTAAGCTTGCTCAGACTTGGCCGATTTGCAGCCAGTCTCCTAGGAATACTCTTAGGTTGCCTGAGCTCAGAAGAAGGGAAGGGTACTGAGCCTAGAGATGTGCTTTCTACCCCAGAATCACTGTCTGAAGTCAGCCCAGAGACTCTGTATAGGAACGAGCTTTCCTCCAAGTGTCCCTGGTAGGAGCTATGAGACGGGGAGGAGAGCAGTTCAGAGGGCTCTTTGTGAGCGGCTTTTGGTCTTTCCCCGGGGGCTCTTTCTGCTTCCTACCTGTGCACATGACAGCAGCAAAGACCCAGCACTGCCCATAGCGCACTGGCTGGCAGCCAGCGGCATGCCACTGCTTTAGGATGGCCACGCTGCCCGTCCACTCGGCAGGGTTGACACCGTCTACATAATTCTCGCTCCAGTTCCCATTGAGCACCCCATTGTCATCGTTACTGTTGATCTGGAAAGAAACCATCCACAGAAGCATGAGAAACACCCTTTCCTTCAGCAGGCTGTGGTGCAGGGGCTTCCTTGGGAGGCGAGGGTTCCTCCCTCCCTGGTTCATCGGGGACCTCACCATGGCACACACCACTCTGCTGACGTACACAGGGCTTCCCCGCAGGGCACAGTCTGTGGCTGGGTCTATCTGGAAGTTCAAGCTCTTGTCTAGCAGCTCCAGGCAGATGTCTATGATATTCTCTTCAAACTGCAAGAGGAGGTGCAGAGGTGGAGGTGCTTACAGAGCACATGGGGGACATGTAAAGGAACACACGTCACTTCCCACTGAGCTCTCTGATGGATGTGTCTATGGATGGATGGATATTCACTCGTCGGGGAGGTAACTGTGTCAAACAGAACAGCCAACCTCCCAACAAGTGTGGGGTTGCCAAGCTCCGGGGTCTCAGCCCACCTGGTGTGTGTGTCCTGAGTATCAAACCCTTCCCTCCACCCTTGACTTTAAGGAGACTTGCTGCTGGTTTTTGTTCTTGTTTTATCCAGTGAGTCAGCTTGGCTGAAAAAACTGTGTCTCCCTCTTCTCCCCTCTCTCCACACTCCTGGAGTGCCTGGGGTGTTCTTCCATACTCCCTGGTGACCAGCTTCTCCCTGGCAGCTAGGCCGAGGATGCAGTGCAGACCTGCACAGCCCTCTATCTGTATGGGGCTCCGGCCAGACAGGTCACATGTGAGGGGATGGAGTTTCTGGCTCAGGGTAGCTCAGCTCCTCCCGGCCCTTCAGGCCTAGTGTGCCGCTGCCTCATCAGACCTGACCCGAACCTGACCATGGCTTCACACTGGAGGCTGGGGATCTCAGCCTACACTTCTCAGCCTCCCCAATCTGAGGAAGCCTCCCTGATCTGAGGATATTCTCCATCTCGATCCGGCTCTTTTCATAGCTCTGGACTCCAGACAAAGTATAGAGCTCCGCACACACTAGGGGTGGCATATATCTTTGTCGCATGCATGTAAATGAATATATTTATTCCCATATCAAAAGAAACAATATGTAGAATTGGCTGTTTCTGATCCATCTTCCCAAGGCGACAGTCTGGCCAGATCATTTTCCACTTTAAAATCCAAAGGCCCCACAGCCTAGAGAATCAAAGCCCCAGACTCTTTCAGAAAGTTCCGAGTCCCTCACAGAGCCACCCCATCCTACCTCTCCAGCTTCCCATCTCTACTCTCTCCCTCACCTTATAGCTTTGCTCCAGAAAATTCTTTGTAACCTTACAAAGAGCCAAACCATTTCTGCCTGTGTCTGCTCACATCTGCCTTCTGCGTTTACTTGGCTAAGCCAGCTCAGTGTCTCCCCTCCCAGGACGCTTCCTGCCACCTCCTGCCCAGGCAAGCGTCTTCCTCCCCATTTCCAAGTGCTCTGCACCATCTCTCAATCCCTACACATCCTACACTGAGATCAGTGATCTGCTTATGTGTTTGGGTCCCCACTGTACTGTGTGATTTGGGGCAGTGTTTTATTAATCTCTAGCATTCAGCGCCCACCTGGCACGAAGCAATCAGGTGCTGCTGAAGAAGAAAGAAAGGAAGAGAGCCAGGGCTCAGAAAGCATCAACCTCTCGCTTCTGCTTCTCTTGGACAACAGAAAACTCCTGTCTAGGGGCTTTCTGGAATCCCCTGCCCATGCCGAGTGAGGAGCCTGGAGAAACAAGGTGCGGCCAGTGGAGGCTGCAATTTCTCCTCTCAGGTGCAGCTACCTGGACCCAGGCTGGGCCTGTGGGCCATGTGAGGGTCTATTTGGGAAAGTCCAGCAGAGGAGCTCATATCAGATGATTTAAGGCTCTGAGAGGACCCCCAGGGTGTGTCCCAGCTGACAGCCCTTCCTGTGGCCAAGGACTGCTTCCTCTCTCTGCCCTCCCAGTGTGGGGCTCAGCCTGTAGAATGCACTTCCCCAGCCTACACTGGACTTCCTGGAGCTTCCAGTAAGAGGCTTCTAGGAAGGCAGGAGTCATGGAGCATTGCAAGGAATGTGGTATCTTTACACCTGAAGTCACGTGTTTTAGAATATGTGTAGACAACACAGTATGGAGGAGCGTATGTGTACCAAGCTGTGACGGTGCTTAGAATGACCTCTGCACTTCAGGCGTGGCCACCATCAGGAAATCAAATAATAACAAACACTACTAAGGGTGTGAGGGGAAAGAGGAACCCTCCCATACTGTTGTGGGGATGTAAACCAGTACAACCACTATGGAAATTAGTGTGGAGATTACCGAAAAACTCAGGTATTTCCCTTCTACATATCTTTCCAAAAGAGTTAAAGACGTCACATGACAGCAATCCATGCATACTCATGCTTATAGCAGCCTATACATCTATCTACAGTGAATGGATAAAGAAAATGTGATATTTACATGCAATGGAGCACTACTCTGCCATAAAGAAGGATAAACTTGAGTCATCTGTAGGAAAATGGATGCACCTTGAGATCAGTATGTTAAGTGAAATAAATCAGACACGCAGCTTAAAATCACATGGTTTCTCTTATACGAGAAACCCAAAGTATAAAGAGTAAAATAGGTAACTGGAAGTAGAAAGATCTTTCTCAAAGGGGAAGGGGATCAAGAGATGAGGGGAGGCGGGAGGGAGAGGAGGGAAAGGGAAAGAAAAGGGAATGAAGACATGTCATGTACATGCCCCAACTCCACACAAGGAATGGAAACATTATATACCGCCAACATGCACTAATAAAATCATCTGAATAAAAGCCAACTGTGTACTGCTTTTATAATGAGATGACTGATCATCAAAATAAATTGATTAATAAATCAATTAAGGGAACAGAGGCACTGGTCATGGGGCAGGAGCTGAACTGCTGCTCCTCAGCCCTGCTCTGGTAACTATGTTGCAGGCGAGTGCTCCTCAGTGTTGACTAAGTGCTTGGCCGAGGGGCCAGGCTTGTGAAGATACGGAGAGTGAGAGGGAAACAAGACTCAGCAGAAACGAAGCACATCAAGCACAGATGCCAGCCGCCCCTCTGCTCTGGAGACCACTCCCTTCCATCCTCGGGAGTTAGGGTCCAAGTCGGCCCTTCTGCTCCTCTATAGCCCAGTCAGCACTGCACACCTTCCTTGCGCCCTTTAACCAGTGCTGTCAAAGGCTCCCCCCCGTCTCTCCCCTCTCCCCAGCAGCCCAGGGCCCAGAAGGGCTGAGACTCACCTGTCCATAGTTCCATGGGCATGGGCGGATCCAGTTTTTGCTCCCCTGGTAGATGAAGCCGTAATCATTCACGACATATTCCTGTCTCTGGGGCTCACTGTCCAAGTAGACAGCGTCCCCTCAGGATCAAAGTGGAGAACAGAGCACAGGCGTTATCTTGCCTTTCCTGTCCCATGCCTGTCCCCATGGTCCACTGGAAACTGGACCGGTACCGAGAAGCACCGGGGTGGAGGGCTTGGGTGCCACACCCGCAACACCAGCAGCAGGCTCAGCGCGAGAATGAGGAGGAATGACACGTTTCCTGAAGTTTCTCGGTTTACACCCTCAACCTACTTAAAGGTTGAGAAAACAGGCCCAAAAGCTATTAAGTAACTTGCACAAGTCACATCTAAGTACAGAACTGGAATGTGAACCCAGAGCCAATGCAACGCCATAGTCTTTTTTTTTTTTTGTACCAGGAATTGAACTCGGAACCTTGCACTTGTGAGGAAGGTGGTGGCACCACTGAGCTAAATCTCTGGCCTGTAACTCCATATTCTGTGCCTCTGCTCTGCTAAGCTGACCTGGTCGGAAAGGAGCACATGGGAGCGTAAGGTTGGTATTGCCCCTATCCACTCGTGTGGTGGGAATGTAAGTGAAGGGACTTGCTGAGCTTGTGCACAGTGTTAGGTACTAGCTGCTCATCTGTGTGCCACTTACTGGAAAGGTGGGGACAACTGAGATGACTTGCTCCTGGGACTGGACAAACAGCCTCCATAAATCCTCACTGAAGAATTTATACAGCATTGACATAGGGTGGCAGATATGGGCATGGAACTCAACATGTGATACATTTTCAACAGATTACAAAATAATGTGTACAGCATAAATTGACTTGTTAAAAATCTCTCTCTCTCTCTCCATATA